GAGCGATTCCATTCCTCTCCAATTCCTGCATGCCACATATCACCCCTTGTTAGATACGCTGTGGAGGAGCATATGGCGAATATCGAGGATTGGGCTTCAGCAACGGCTAATCTCGTCAGTATATCCACCTTGAAAACATCAAAGATGGAGGCAGACGAGTGCAAAAAAAGTGTAGTGAAACTGGAAACACAAATTGCCTAGCTTGCAGACATCCCAACTATGGATACAGGCACGTAAGCAATTCTACGAAAAAAAATGTGCCAGCATATTTTCATACACCTTTCTTTCATGGTATCACTAGCACTTCCCAGCAGAAGTTTACTGTGATCACATTTAAGAAGAAGGGTGTGGCAGATATCAAAGCCGCCAACCTAGCCACAACAAATGGATTTTTTCTTTTCAATCTCGCCGTGATTATCACTAGATCCTTTGTGCCGGTTCGTATTTGCACCAATATGCATCGAAACATAGACAAGCATATGATAGTAACATACATATCATAAAAATACAAATGATGTGTTTTATAGAATGTATGCTGGCCACAACACACCTAAATATAAAGCTGGTGCTTTCCTACTGGTTGCAAGTACATACAATTTATTCTTTTCCAACATTCGCATAGCTGTAGCCATATATAGACCCAACAGTTGCTACCGCTGCCGTCATAGCAATTGGGAACGGGCGCGCGCTTTTCAGGGCATTACGCGCATTGAAAAACAACCAGATAGCCGACCACCCGGCAGTCAGGCCAGAGCCATTTACAGCGTCACCCTTGCTAAGCGCATAGCCGGAGAACGCAAACACGGCGGTGTATGCGCTGCATTGGAACACCGATGGGTATCCTTTGACGCCTCGCGAGGCATTCGACAGCGCAGCAAAGTTCAAGGCTGACAGCAGTATAGCTGGGTAGTGCGTGTAGGTGAAGCGCTCGGACACAATATCGAGTTCGGTTTTGCTCTGCGGCTTTGTGTGGATCGTGTAGCTCGACGGCGGAGTAAGGTACCTGGACGTGTTGGGTTTGTCGTTTTCTGAGGGCGAGCTCATTTGCGGTTAGAGGTGAAATTGTGTGTGTATGGAATGGCAAAGGGAGCGAAAGATAGGCACAAAAAGCAGATCGAACCTGACTGCAGTGAAGATTGAGCGTAATCAAAAGCAGTCGGCTTGAAGCGAGCCGAGCCGCAAGGGGGACCGTTTATTTTGGCGCTACAAACAGCCAACCTGAACTAACAACCCCCATTTCATGCAACCTTGCTGTTTCTATTCGATACACTCTTCATTCAACCTCATTCAACCCCCTCAGAGCCCAGGATGGTGACAATGCGCAATTCGTGGAGTCCTTTTGTCGTGAGCGCGCCTGGCAAGGTCATTTTGTTTGGCGAGCACGCGGTCGTCTATGGCAAAACGGCAGTGGCTGGCAGTTTGAACCTGCGAGCATATGCGCTGGTGACGCCCCGCGACGACGCAACCGTCAGGCTTGTGCTACCCGATATCGACATCGACGTGCACTTCAGCACCCACACGCTGCCGCAGATCCGCAAGGAGGACCTGGAGCATCCAGCAGAAATCGAGTCACTGGTAACAGAGGCCATCACGGTTCCCGTGGGTCCGGGCCGCACGGCCATTCTGACATTTGTCTACCTGTATGCTTGCCTGTTCCGCAGCGAGGACCGCACCAGCGGCTTCACAATCACCGTGCGGTCGCTGCTGCCGGTGGGTGCCGGGCTGGGCTCATCGGCGGCATTCAATGTTGCGCTGTCGGCGGCGATGCTCAAGCTGACTGGGCAGCTTTCCGATGAGGGCTCGTCGGCAGAGGACAAGCAGCTTATTAATGCTTGGGCATTCCGTGGCGAGCAGGTGGCACACGGGACGCCTTCAGGGATTGATAATGCAGTGGCCACGTACGGCGGGTTTGTGCGGTACAGGAAGGGCGAGGAGCAGACTGACCTGCAGAGCACGCGGGCATTGCGCGTTCTGATCACAAACACAAAGGTCCCCAAGAGCACCAAGGCGCTGGTCGCCAGTGTGCGTGTGCTGCGGGACCGCCACTCACCGATCATCGACGGAATCATGGACGCAATCCACAGCATCAGCACTAAGGCTGCCAATCTGTTTGGTGGACCCGATGCAAGTGATCTCGAAGTGCAGCTGCAGGACATGATCCGCATCAACCACGGCCTGCTGGCGACCCTGGGCGTCAGCCATCCGGCGCTGGAGCGCGTGCGTGACATCACCGGGACCCGCGGTATGGCCTCGAAGCTCACTGGTGCTGGTGGCGGTGGCTGCGCATTGACGCTGATCCCGAATGGCCTTCCCAGCGCCGAGGTTGATGCTGCGGGCAAAGAGCTTTCCGAGGAGGGCTTCCAGTGCTACGAGACGAATGTCGGTGGCCCGGGCGTCCTGGTGCGCCTGGAGGTCAAGGCGTTGTCAGTCGAGCTGTTCGTTCGCAATGCGCTTGATCGCCATATGTCGCTGGCTCCCAGCGGCCACCGGGACGAGACCGGCGACCAGTACAGCGGCGTCATCTCGGCATTCACCATTCTCCCGCCAGATGCTATTTCCGAGCTGTCGCAGTGACGTGCTCTCAACAATTTCACACACTTCAATTAATTGATCACCTCAAGATGCTCATATCTAGATATGCAATTAGACTATGCCTGCAAGACGCCCATCCCAGCGCATCAAATCTGATTCCTATACGAATATCGCCTAGGTTGGTAAAGGTAGTTGAAACTAGGACCAATCTAAGGGCAATTGAGAGAGATCTAGGTCCATGTCAGGAATTTCTAGACAAAACTCGTTGATATCCAGACCCTCAATCGCTGATACTAGCTCCAGATCATCAGTGCGGCTGAGCAGCTCAGAGATGATGTCGCCAATGAGCTCCACTGCACTGTGGAGTACCGTTTTCAGTCGCTCGATGTCATGTACAATCTGTGAGCGGTCGCTGGTGCTGCCTGCGCTATTGGCGCACTCGGCTGGGCTGTGGTCAAGGAACAGTCGGACTGCTGCCCCGCTATGCTTCTGGCGACATACAGGACACAGAACAAAATGGGTGTTGTATCGGCAGCTGTTGATGCAGTGCATATGAAAGACGTGTCCGCAGCGAATGGATGCCAGGTGTAGATCCGCAGCTTCGGCGATATCCGATGGGACATTAGAAAAGAGCGGGTCCTGGCAGACTGCGCACTTCATGGCTGAGACTAAGAGAAGAGATGAGGAGAAATGCAGTGGAGCCTGTGCTGAACACTACTCCCCAATATAAACCTCACATATGGTCTGATCAATCTCATCCTGTGCTCTGGGTACCCGTCCTCCATAACGCTGTGGAAAATGCACCAAGCTGTCTAATTGGCAGCCCTTTTTTTTGCACGCAGCAGGCTATGATTGCAGCATATAGCTTTCTTAGATATCTCCAGCTTCAGCATTCGTCATGGCGTCAAAGGCAGCAAGCAAGCGGCTCACAAAGGAGTACAAGATGATCCAGAAGTCGCCGCCCGAGTTCATCACAGCGAAGCCGCTGGAGAAGAACATCCTCGAATGGCACTACATCATCAGCGGTCCACCGGACACACCCTTCGAGGGTGGCGAGTACCACGGCCGCCTGATCTTCCCAAAAGAGTATCCGTTTGCGCCGCCGGCGATCCAGATGATCACGCCCAACGGCCGGTTCCAGGTCAACATGGATATCTGCACGTCCTACTCGAACTACCACAAGAACACCTGGAACCCCGCATGGTCCGTTGCCACCATCATCACCGGCCTGCTGTCGCTGATGACTGATGACGAGAAAACTACCGGGGCCATCGAGACGACCGATGCCGAGAAGCGCATATTTGCCAAAAACTCGCGAGAGTTTAATCGCCAGAACCCGCGCTTCAAGAACGCATTTGGCGACATGTAGCACTGGACTTTTTTTTTTCTCGCTGGCCTGTACTGCGGCTGAGCGCCGGCTTTCAGCATTTGCTATCTCAGTGATCCGGGTCCCCGTGCCAGCGGCCGTCGGCAGCGCAGCTTGTATTGGTGGCGAATAAACTAATTTTCTGTTGCAATTGTTGCATGTATATTTGTCCACCTCAGCTGGCACATGGAGAGGCCCTCGGCGAGGTCATGCCTATGTCACTTGAGTCCGCCGCTCTGCATCAGAAGTGCGGGATGCCCAGAAGATCCGAGAAGCGAGCTGGATATGCCCGTGACGGCCTTCTCTTCGTCTCAGGCGCCGTTTCGGCAGCCCCCTGTCTGCACCACCACCTAAATTCGGTTGGGGTGGGTGAGGCAGGCAGAGATAGCGCCGTGGTGGTGGGACAGATGGACGGTGGCCGAGCTCGCTCATCGGCGAATCCAGGCGTATTTATGCACGCATGCATCCCCCACTATTGCGTCTCCTGCTCGTGCCTCGAGCCGATGCACATCCAATCGAAGCCATTATCCCAGTTTTGTGCTTGAGGTCCTGTTGCGCACCGACGTCTGCGCTGGGGCACGCTACTCTACCCACAGCGACACCCAGACATGCCCCTGCGGAGTATAGTGTTCTGTGTGCTTTTTTAGACGCGGCATTGGTTGATCGACGTGCCAACAAACACACAACAGGCGCAAGCGAGGAAATGGATCTATTTTCTGAGCGCCGACCGAAAACAACACGCAAAAAGTGTTGTGATTGACACTCAGGCTCCATGGCACAATCAGGCTGGCTCCCACCCACTGTGCCTGTCGCTATAGTGCCAGACGTGACTGGGGGACAGAGGTGGCCATGATACGAACAAAGGCGAACCCCCCACCAGCCCCTTTATAAGGGCGCGCCGTCCGTCAGTGCCCCTACCTCCCGGGCCGTTTCTCCTTTCTCCACTTTTTCCCTCGCCGCTGCGTTAATTTTTGTATTTTTTCACTACACTGACCTTTTGCTTGTCCTTTTGAGATAGAGAACAACCTTTGCTATCTCCTGCACATACGCACAACATAACCAGATATCCCCCGCTCTAATCCAGACATAACAAACAAAAACAATGAGCAACACCGTCAGCCATGTTTTCCGGCTAGCCGCCGCCGACACTGCTGGTACCGTCGAGATCCTGGGCACCTTTGGTGCTGACACTGAGAAGCACTGGTCGCCGATCGCCATGACCAAGGCCGATGACGGCAAGTACGAGGTCACGGTTTCCGACCTGGAGCCAGGAACCGCCTACATCTACAAGTACAAGGTCGATGGCGAGTGGGTGCTGGACGATGCCGCCGACAAGTCTACCGATGCCGCAGGCATTGTCAACAACTCATTTACGGCCCCGGCAGCTGATGTCCACGTGGACAGCGAGGTTACCGAGCCCGTCAAAGAGTCTGAAGAGCAGACGGCTGCTGCTGTCGATGCGGCTGCTGCTGACGCAGTACCTGCTCAAGATGCTGCAGCGGCACCTGCGGATACAGGTGTCGAGGCTGCTGGAGCTGTTGCTGACGAGCCGGCCGGTGCTGCTGATGAGGCTCCGGCTGTCGAGGAACCCGCTGCTGCGGTCGCTGACGAGCAGGCTGCTGGCGCTGGTGAGGAACCAGCTGAGAAGACGACTGATGCTTCTGCTGAGGAGTCGCCTGCTCCTGCTGCTGAAGCAGAAGCTGCTGTCGTAGAGCCTCCTGCCGCCACTGAGGAGGTCAAGGTCGAGGAGCCTGTTGTTGAGGAGAAGATCGAAGAGTCCGTCGCTGCCGTCGAGGAGACCAAGACTGAGGAGGACCTTGTCGCTGCCGCTGAAGAGACCAAGACTGAGGAGCCTGCTGTCGCCGCTGAGGAGCCCGCTGTCGCTGCTGCTGAGGAGGCTGCTACTGCTCCGGCTGTTGAGGAGGTGAAGACCGAGGAGCCTGCTGCTGAGGTCGCCACTGAAGAGGACGCTGCCTCTGTCGAGGAAACCAAGGCGGAGGAGCCGGCTATCGCTGAGCCTGTCGAGGAGCCTGCTGCTGCCCCGGTCGAGGAGACAAACCCTGGTGCTGAGGAAACCAAGGCCGAGGAGCCTGCTGCCGCTGAGGAGGCTGCTACCGCTCCGGCTGAGGAGACTGCTCCGGCCGCTGAAGAGGCCAAGGCCGAGGAGCCAGCTGTCGCTGAGCCTACTGAGGAGGTCGAGGAACTTCCTGTTGTTGCCGAGGAGCCTGTTGTCACTGCTACTGAGGAGCCTGTTACTGCCCCAGTTGAAGAGACTGCCACTGCTCCGGTTGAGGAGACTTCTCCGGTCGTTGAGGAGACCAAGCCTGAGGAGCCTGCTGCTGAGGTCGCTGCTGAGGAGGACGCGGCCCCTGTCGAGGAGGCCATCCCTACTGCTCAGGAGACCAAGACTGAAGAGCCCGCTGCCGAGGATATCAAGCCTGAGGAGGCTGCTGTTGCTGAGGAGGCTGCTATTGCTCCGGTCGTTGAGGAGCCGGCTGTCGCTGCTGCTGAGGAGGCTGCTACTGCTCCGGTCGTTGAGGAGACTCCGGTCGTTGAGGAGACCAAGCCTGAGGAACCTGCTGCTGAGGTCGCTGCTGAGGAGGACGCGGCCCCTGTCGAAGAGGCCCCTGTCGAAGAGGCCCCTGTCGAAGAGGCCACTCCTGCTGCCGAGGAGGCCAAGCCTGAGGAGACTGCTACTGCTTCGGTCGAGGAGACTGTTCCGGTCGTTGAGGAAACCAAGGTCGAGGAGCCTGCTGTCGCTGAGCCTGCCGAGGAGGGAGTTAAGGCTGAGGAGCCCGCTGTCGCTGCTGTTGAGGAGCCCACCGCTGAGGTCGTCGTTGAGGAGGCTGTTGCCACCCCGGTCGAGGAGCCTATCCCTGCTGCCGAGGAGACCAAGACCGAGGAGTCTGCTGTTGTTGAGGAGGCTGTTACCGCTCCGGCTGAGGAGACTGTCCCGGCGGTTGAGGAGACCAAGGTCGAGGAGCCGGCTGTCGCTGAGCCTGCTGAGGAGGAAGTTAAGACTGAGGAGACTGTTCCAGTCGTTGAGGAGACTGCTCCAGTCGTTGAGGAGACTGCTCCAGTCGTTGAGGAGGCTAAAACCGAAGAGCCTGCTGCTGAGGTCGCCGCTGAGGAGACCACCACCGAGGAGCCCAAGGCCGATGAGGCTGTTGTTATTGAGGAGCCAAAGGTTGAGGCTGATGCTACCGCTGAGGAGACTGCTGCCGCTGAGCCTGCTGTCGCTGAGGCTGAGGAGCCCAAGGCTGAGGAGACTCCTGCCGCTGTTGAGGAGGCCGCCACACCGGTCCCCGAAGAAGAGAACGCCACGCCTGTCGAGGAGACCGATCCCAAGGAGTCGCGGCCAGAGACCGTTGCCGAGGCTGCGGAGGCGTCCGAGCCTGTCAAGCCTACTGCCGAGACGGCCGAGGCTGCGGCTGGCTCCAGCAGCGATCACAAGAAGAAGAACCGCGGCTTCTTTGGCTTCTTCAAGCGCATGTTCCAATGAGCACGCCTCAGTACCTCGTCGCTTTTTTGTATCTGAACCGTTCGTTTTTATCGCACTTATCTCTCTTTTTTCTAATCCCAACTATTCACCATTCTTGCTATGTGTGGCGTGCTTGCGATGACAATTGCCTCCTTCGAATGGGTCGCCCTGGTGATGCAGCTTTGTGATTAAAAAGCCGCAGTAGCTGACTTCATCGATAGCAAGGATGCTGGGCATTGAAAAGGGATCACTCCGCGCACACGACACTAGCCGTGTCTCGGCTTTTTTCTCCTCTTTTCTTCATTCTCCAGAGTTCGTCTATTCATCTCTATTATCTGCTTTCTTGCCTCGGGTACCGTCCGATGGAGACCGACTACTTGCTTACCCAGGACCATCGAGCTCCTGGCAATGACTCGGCGCCAAGGCCACTGCACAGACGGGCCGTCTTTTGGCTCGCTCTGCTTCTAGCGGGTCTTGGCGCTCTAACCTGGGCCCTACTCCCCGGCACCAGCACACCGCCCCCAGCACACCCGCCCCAGTCAATCCCATCGCTGTGGGGGAGCGACAAGGTGCAAGTTGAGCTTTTCGTGATGTCCCGGTGTCCCGATGCGCTCAAGGTCGAAGAGGTCTTCGGCAGCGTCGTGCCCGCAGTGTACTCCATCATGGACGTGCAGCTGAACTTCATTGCGGAGCTCAACCCCAATGCGACGTTTGGTGCGACGTGTATGCACGGCGACGCCGAGTGTCAGGGCAACATCGAGGAGCTCTGCGCGCTGAAGCATAAGCCCGACCTGCCGTCATTCTGGCGCTTTCTGACCTGTCTCAATAACCACTTCAGCGATATTGGCAGGGACGCCGATTTGTCGCTAAAGTGCGCCAGCAGCGCGGGATTGGATACGGCGGCGTTCTTGGCGTGTACGACGCAGGGCGAGGGGCTGGTCCTGTTCAAGCAGTCGGTGGAGGCTGCCGTGTTTGCTGGTGTCAAGACAAGCGCTACTGTGTATATTGACGGCAGCTTGCGGTGCGTTGAGGACGGCGGGTGGTATTCGTGCCCAGGCGGGTATCGCCCAACCGACTTTATCCGTGACATTTGCAACGCATATAAGGGATCGGCACCGAAACCGTCCATCTGTGGCCAGTACCGGCCTCCCAGCGGCATCCACAAAGTGCCAGCACTCGTTTAAGCGTGTTAGAACCAACAACTTTGTCTTTACATTAATGCGACTCTAGTCAGACTGCCAAACGAGAGTAGCGTATGCTAGGGCGTCATATCCGCCGGTATCTATAGCCCCCCATGTCTTTTGGCTTCTCGACGCTGCGAAGCTTGTGAGTCTTCATTTCATCCAGCAGCTTGGCCATGAACGTTGGGTCCTTGTGGAGTGCCTCAGGATGGTCCTCCAATGAAGCCGCCGGCTTCAGTCCGATGGACGATGGCTTGCGGTACTGCGTCTGCCGGGCCCTCCGCTGAACTGTGCCCGAGGCTCTACGCTGCGACCCGGCCGACGACACTGACGGGCTCCTTGACAAGAAATCCAAATGCCGCCTGCTCGAAGCAATGCAATAGTCTCCACTACCCGGCCACTCCGCTGCACGCGCAGAGGGCGGCGGTGACGAAAGCGCTCCCCTGCCTGCCTTTGCCGAGTCGCTGGACTTTGGTGACGGCGGCAGCATCGCCGATGGGAACGAGTACTGCCGCTGCATCGGCAATGGAGTGCGGTGTGGTGGCTGCGGATTCACAGCCCCCCCAAACCGCGCTTTGACGAGCCGAGAGATAATATCGTCCGACGTACGCTCGGGCTGCTCAATACCGCCATAAACCGACTGCAAATCCTCCTCGTTCAGCCCATTGGGAAGCAGGGCAGCAATGATCCTTTTCAGTCTGCGCAGCTCGCGCTCGACATTTTCCAGCCGCGCCTGCTCCACAGCTGCCGAATCAGCTATTGTCCTGCCTGGATGCTGGTTGCGAACGCTGCCGTGCTCGGACACTGCCGCAGATGTCTGGGTCTGCTTCGCTACCAGCGACTCACGGCAAGACTCTCTTGCCGCTGGTGCATCCGCTTCCGGTGCTGTAAACCGGGGCTGTGGTGGTGGCGGCGGCGGAGCTGGCGGCGGAGGCATTGATACTAGCCCTAACACGCCCATGCCATGCTCAGAAAACCGCTCCAGGTGCCCCAGGTCCATTTGCGGCGGGGTCCACTGCCGACTGTCCTCCGGCTCCAGTTCAACCAAAGTGCTCTCGCGCCTCCGGTTTGTTCCAGAAACCGTCCGGCGACGAGGCCATCTCACCCAACGCGCCAATGTCACAGCCGTTTTCATCGTCACTGACAACTATAGGTGACAATGTTGTGTCGCTGTCGTCCAGATGGAGCCATGACGCCCCTGCATATCCGCTGCTCATCTTGCGCCGCTTGCTTCTTACAGCCTGATATAGCCCCGAGTTGTCCATGCGCTGTGCTGTCCCAGCCTAAGGAAAATAATCAAAGACAAGGGTCAGCAATATCGCACCATCAAACCGAGATCCACAATAGCCATAGCCTGCAACAAAAAAGCAACACTTACAGCCATCGGCGGCTCGGGGAGGTCGCTTTGGTGCGATGCGTGTCTGTGGGAGCGTGTACGGCGCCCACTAAGTCTGCTGCGCTCTTTGCTAGAATACGATGCCCTCCCGTGTGTAGTAGCTGGGTGGGACCCGAACAGCCGCCTTGACTCGCGCTCCGCAGACAAGCACGCACGCTCGTATATTCCATACAGGGCTGAAAACAGCGAGGACCGCTGGCTGTCTGGTGTCTTGTCGTACATGCGCGTAGCCTTTCGATAACAAAAGCCCGAGTAATAGACAAGAGTAGGAACGAAGGAAAGAAGGGAAAGGTGTGTTTTTAAGCGAGCATGTAAATGCAGTGCGAATGTTAAAAGGTGCCTAGCAAATGGCGCGAAAAAAAAAAAAAAAAAAAACTAGAAAGTATAGGCAGGAGAGCAAAGAAACTGCAGGTTCGCGTCTGTTGTCTGAAAATGCCAACCAGCGATCGTGATCTCCAGATCAAATAACGCGGCGCAGGGGCAGATCAGCACTAGTAGACCATCTTGCAGTGACAAAAAGATAAGCCTTGGGGAAGGGCACAATTGCGCTGCCAGCTTTTAGCAGTTGACAGCCCTCGAAATCTCATTTCCTCACCTTCTTCCTTCCAAATCCCTCCTCGTAATTCCACACAGCTCAGTCTATTATTCTGTTAAGCGATGGCGATTCCGGGCTACAAACATTTCAAGAGTGAGGATTGGGTCGACCCGACACCACCGCCTGCCGATTTGCCGCATGTCGATGAGGTCGGCAGCAGCGGGGCGCCGCTAAAGTCAGCGTCCTTCTTCATTGGCAGCGTATGCCAAGAGTACAACGAGGACTTCATGCTGTGCAAAAACGAGGACCGTGACCCGAAGCACTGCCTGGCGGAGGGCCGCAAGGTGACGCGCTGTGCCATTGACGTGCTGGAGAAGATCCAGGCCAGCTGCGCGACCGAGTTCCGCGCCCACTGGCAGTGCCTGGACAACAAGAACCAGTCGTTCAACAAGTGCCGTGCGCCTGAGAAGGAGTACAACGCGTGCCTGTTCAAGGCCCTGGGATGGAAGAAGAACATCCCGGATGCGCCTGCAAACAAGCCCCAGATCCACGAGCGGATCCCGTTGACCAAGTAAACAAACGAAGCGCCTTTTCTCCTGGTGATAGGACACATGGTGGATCTTGTCTGGTCGTCCTGAGATACGTGCTGAAAATGTGATTTTATGTTTTTCTCTTTCCAACCTACCCATTCCAATACATGAAAAAGCCCAACCACCGAGCCCTGCCATGCACAGGTCCTGCCATGCACAGGTAGAGCACGCCATTTACCGATGTGGCCAGCACCACCCTCGCCTAGCTCCTACGCCAGAGTGCAGCAGGCAAATGAGCCTCTAGGCTGACAGATGAGATCCAACCAATCTGCTCGGCACGTGACCTCGAGATATTGGCAAGAACTGCTTTCTGTTCCTGCTACCATGGCGGTGCACAGTACAATCAAACCCCACTTTTCCTTTGCTTCAGATCACCTTCTCACCTTTATACTCTTGAGGAACCTGCACATTCAGAGAACGACCCGAAGAAATGGTACGTTGTCTGGCTAAACACTACCCGCCCCGTTAGCAACAGCTTAGCTGAAGGAACTCCGCCTGGCGCTTCCAACCCCTGTAGGCGAACCAGTCGCAGAAGCGAATTGTGCAAGAGAATGCAGCACGGATGGCCAAAATGGACAAGGTATACCTGCTGGTAAACGGTCTTTACATCGTAGTGCGGTTCTTTTTCCAGTACAGCAGCATCAACTGGACTGAAAGCATTATGTACTTTTTGTCGCTGGCGCTCGAGTCGTTCCTGTACGTGAACCTGTACCAGGTCTCGCGGCCGCGGTATGACGCCAGTGGTGTTTTGATGGACGCCGGCACGGACCTGGGCCAGCCTGGCCTGGTCTCGTACATTTTTGACTTTATCTACATCTCGTGGGCCACGCATGTGCTCAGCCTGGCCACAAAGTGGGCATGGGGCCTGTACATGGTGATTCCGGCCTACGCAGCTGTGGTGTTTGGCCCGTACGTGCGCGATTTCCTGCTGCCCAAGGGCGACGGTGCGGCCTCAAAGGAGGATGAGACTGAGCAGGAGCGCAAGCGGCGAGAGAAAAAGGAGCGCAAGAAGAACCGCGTAAAGTACATGCGCTAAAGTAAACGTCTCAGTGCCTTTTTGCCGACAAAGAATATATTGAAGTCAAATCGCGTACGTTTCCTGGAACCGAATCAGCCGCCAGACCAGGTCCTCCATGATCGAAAGCGTGGGTCTCGGCCTGCTGGAATCTGCTGGCTTTCCCTCATTTGCCGGTGCCGCTGCTTCAGTCTCCATCAAGGGCTCGTCGTCGGCAGGGAATTCGCGTGGCAGCTCAGGGTCATCGGTAGGCCAGTCGCTGGGGTTGATTGGCGACGTGGGTGCCTCTGAGAGTGCCTGTGAC